TCGCACTCGGAAATATCGAGTGCGGAGACGGGTGGTCTAGGACAAGCTGCAGAAAACGAAAGGAAAAGGGCAAAAAATAGAACCCAAAAATAAAAATCGTCAATCAAAAAATGCAGCGATCATTTCTTGCGCCAGGCTCCTGGCGCTCACTCTGTTCTTCATTTTCGGATGCTGTCTTTAATCTCCCCCGTCTCTCATATCTGGTCAACACTTTCCTTTTTGCTCATTGTCAGATCAAGTCACCCCTTTGGGTTGGTGATCTGACCAATCAGCGCCAAGGAACCGGAGCCCACCCCTAAGCTTTGCGTTTCCTGTACTGTACAAACACGTGCTCGCTCGGTACTGTATTCAAAGTATCATTTCTTACGACGCAGAGCTGTAGTGGTACACACGTCGCAGCGGTGCTTCCTCGTGTTTAGTACAGTACCGCGACGGAGTACAAAAGGTACTGTCACGCCGTCAGCTTATAAACGTACCCCGTAACGCCACCCCACCCTCCTCCCCCGGTACCCATACCACCCATGCCACCAACCCTTGCTCCTTCCATCCCTTTCCTCGTTTCCTCGTCCCCCCTTCCAAAACTCAGCTCATACACTTCGCTGTCCGAGGCTTTTTCCCTTCCATCAAATTTCCCTTTCCCTTCATTGTTTCCCTTCCCCCAGATGACCTTTTTTTTCCTCACTTCACATCCCCCAAAATCACCCCAAAACGGAGACATCACCAGCAGCGAAGCAGAGAAAAAGGGACTCTCCAACTGTCCGATTTTACTTCGCGCCTTCCTTAAAATAATTAATCGTTCCTTTTAATCGAGGCTTTCAGTAGTTCTTGATTTATTTTCTCCTCTTTTTCTTCATTTTCTTTTCTTTCTCTTGTTTTTCGCACAACGTCAGAAGCCCACGCGCATCGGTCGCAACGGCACTGTTTTTCACTTGTTTGTTTGCCCCCATTTCCGCCTCCCTCCGCCCCTTCCTTTCTACCCTTTGCCCCCTTTCCCTCCTTTCTCATCGCTGGCCTCTCGGGGGGTCGCAAAGAGAATTATTCGCCACATCCAACCGTTGCGATTGACCTTGTCGCACCGCCCCCCTCTTTTCCCCTCTCTTTTTGTTCTTTGTCTTTTTCACCAACCACAAACCTCGAGCTGGTAGCTTAGCTGCCGCGACTAGGCTGCAGCATTTGAAATAACTAATTCGCCATACTGACTTTGTGTTACGTCAGCCTCCGCACTTTTCGCATCGCGCGACTCCAGCACTCCACAGCAAGCTCCCTCGCCACCTTCCAGCACCCGGTTCCTGCATCCCTTCCACAGCAACATTTGTTTGTCGCGACTAGGCGCCCACAGTCGCTAAACTCTCTCTTTCTCTTTCCCAAAAATCGCCCATCAGAACGCGCAAATGTTTCGGTTCTGGGGAAGCGACTCGAGGGGAGGTGACCAGAGCGTGAAGATCGATCGACCCATGATTCACTCGTTTCCCACGCCGCAGCTGCATTCGATTAATCCGACGATAGCGACGTCCGGTCCGAGCGGCGCCTACGTGGCGCGACCGCCCCTGAAGAGGGAACGCGATGAGGCTTCTTTGAACAGTGCACCTGTCTCAAAACGTCCCAAGCAATCCGACCCCGAGCCTGAGCCCGAGGAGCAGCAGCCAAGTGTTCAAGCCCCGCCTCTCGATGACGACGCCAAAGTCAACTCGGCGCACGTTTCCGATGATCGCCTCGACCGAGCGCGCGACGCGATTCAGTTTCACTTCGGACTCGAGATCCTCTACAAGCATGACGAGCTGAGACTGATCGACCAGGAACTCGCCAAATGCCAGGTCGCCCTGGAGCAACTGCGCCGCTGCCACCTCATTCCTTACCCCATCAACTGCCCGACTCCGGATCAGATGGTGGAGATTTGCAGCGGAAAGGGTCCTGCTCTTCGGAAACGTGGCAAAGAGGTTCCCCGATGGGCGCCCCCCTTTGGTGTTGTTGACGGACCCTATGCCAGGCACTACTCGAAATGGCTCATTCCCGATCCCATGTTCGACGGCATGCTGCCCGAGTGGCAAAATCCTTACGAAATGCGCAGCTCGAGGGCGGCGACGGTCGAAGGAAGGACTACCCGAAACAGCGCCGGAGACACGTCTCTTGCTGGGAAGCAGCGACCCGTCCGTGGTACTGCAGGCCAGAAGCTTCAGTCGCTCACGAGCGGATACCCGACTCCCAAGGACAAGAATAGTCCCTGCGTTCTCAAGCGCCAATCCGACGGCAAAACGGTCAAGCTTGTCTGCCTCGACTGTCATAGGGAGAACTTTCTCAGCATCCAGGGCTTCATCAACCATTGTCGCATTGCGCATAGGAGGGATTTCAAGAGCCATGAGGAAGCCGCCATCCACAGCGGCCATCCCATCGAGGTGCCTACGGTCGCCAAAACCCCCGTTGCGCCGAAGCGAGTCATTGAGGCTCCACCGAAGCCATCTGCGCCGCCCGCCGTTACGACTACTGCTGTCCCGCCTCCGCCCACGGGTCTCGTCCATCCTTACGCACAGTCGGAAGTGTCAAGACAGGAAGCTTTCTCGAACCTTCAGCGTCGCATCCAGGAGTCTCTCCGGCTGTACCAGCAGGGAAAGCACCCTAGTGCGTCGGAAATCCCTACTGCTTCTCCTGCTCCTGGTGCTGCCAAGAACGCGACTTCGTCCTCTTCTGGATCCTTGATCCCTTCGTCTGACACGCCCTACCTCTCTCGTCTGATGAAGGCGAAGCAGTTCAGTGGCGATCTTCAGAAGCTCGTTACCGAAGCCAAGGCTGACATTGACGAGGATGACCTATGTTCGCCCGGCTATGACATGGATGAGAGCGAGACACCTTCAGTTGCCAGCCCACCTTCGGCCCCTCCCGTCTTACGCATGCCCGCCGGTCACCACGCAGCTACTACACGACCCGTTAGTAAGACTGGACCTTCCTCTGTCCTCCCCCTCGCGGCGCCTACATCTAGGAAACCAGGTCAGACGAAAGTTGTCATCATTAGAAACGATGATGATGATGATGACGAGGAGGCGGATGAGGACATGGAGTTGGATGCGAACATGAGCCCCAATCCTTCGGCTAGCAACAATGCTCCGTCTCTCGTTAGCGACGATGGCGAGTACGACGAGTCGGATGATGGCTCCTCGGAATCCGACGCCAGTGACAATATGGAGGCCGAGTCGCTTTCTGACGTTGCCGACATCGCTATGGACGATGACGCTCCCAGATCCTTGAGGCATCATGGCGAATCTGGCACCGGCGCCGCTGTCCGACTACGAAAGGAGAACAAGAAGGCGGTGACTCTTGTCAGTCCGATGAAGAACGCCGGAGACCGACGAGGTGCTCGCAATGTCTAGGCTACGAGGTTAGACAGAGCCTTGCGCCGAATGCCTTTTCTGAAGAGAGGGCCTCATCGCCGACTTTCTCCTGCTCGTTTCTTTCCTTCTTTTTTTTTTCACTTCAATTCGACTTTCTCACTTTGTTGGGCTGCTCGCCTTAGTCCTTTTTTGACAATACTCGGTTTTAGTTCATGATATATTATTAGCCCCAGACACTCTCAGCTCTTCTTTCCACCTCCAATGCTTAGGTTGCTTAGCCACACGATGGTCACAGCAACGATCCGGCATGTCGTGGTGGATTAGGCAATGACTTGGGGTTGTGTCTTGCTGCTGGGGTGGGGTGTGGGCTTTTCTTCTTCGTCTTCCTGCTTTCGAAAGTGCTTTTCTTTCTTGCATGGTGTTCCGGTTCAGGGGGGTTCTCAGCTTTATCTCTTTTATTCTTTTATAGTTTTTTAAAGCTTTTTTTCTTCTATGTCATCTATCCCACTCTTGTACAGGAGCAGCGGATTTTTTTTTTCTTAAGGTTGTCTGTTTTTCCTCTAAGCATGTCAATTGCTTCTTTCTGCTTTTCATTTCTTCTCTGGCTATGGGCTGGGTTTTCCAAGGTTGGGGGGAGTTGGTGCGGGAAAGGGAAATGCTTGAGATTGTGCAAAACAGCTGGGTCCCTCTCGGGATTAGGGAAGGGGGAGGATGGTTAAGGGATTCTGGAACTTTAGAAGGCTGCTTTTTTTCTGTCCTTGCTTCAATTTTTTTCTTTACGTTGCTTTGGAACTTGGGGGAGGGATCCTATGTCTGTTTTTATTGTCTGTCGACTTTCCCTTTCTCAATTCTCCTCTTCTTGTGTATGTTTTTTCCCCTAGTCGTTTTTTCCTTACAAAGAGCGAGAAAGAAGAAAGAACATAAAGACGAAGGGGGGAGGAGGGCCATGATGTGTATATATTATTTGGCCCGGCAGGAGACTCGAGCAAAAATCCGGAGCTGGGAACGGCTGGAATAAAAATGGGGCTCTTCGAGAAGAGATGAGCCGTATTTGCAAAGAAATGTGTTTACTGTCTGCTCTTGAATGTGATGTCTAGATTGGATTAATTGTTGAACTTGAAGCTGATTTAGACGGTATGTTTCAATGGTGATGTTGGTTGGATCAACCTAGTCTTGGTTCGTATTATTGCACTAAGAATTTGCTATACCTCCATCTCCAGCTAATCCTTTCTCTGGCCCGATGGTCCCATGATTAGAAAACATAAATTAATTTAGACGCCAGAGTTTAGCGATTGAGACTTCAAGCTATTGTTCAAGGGATTGCACTCTTTTCAAATGCTGTCTCTGAGGTCGTCAGGTTTGGCTTCAATCGGTCGAAACCTTCAGTTTGGGTTTCAGGGATGGTTATAAGCAAACAGAACATGAAACCACCAAAGAGATGCGTCGCGTAGCCCACAGCAACAACCAAACAAAACGAAGATGAAAAAATGCACTCAAGACAACATCGCATGATACCACGAGCATCAACACCAACAACTCAAGGATATTGTGTATATTCCAAGAAAAAAAAGGCGAATCAAAATGCTGATACCCATTAATTAAAAGATCCCAGCACTTTTCAACTCCCATCCCTCCACACTCTCTCTACCCGAACCTTCCCCCTTTTTTTTCCTCTCTTTACACAATAACAGCCATAACACCAGCAACAGCAAGCAAAACACCACCAGCATTCATAGCCAGCTCAGCAGCACCACCCTTGCTAGTCTCCGAAGCGGCCGCATCGCCAGTCGACGACTTATCGGAGCCCTGGGTGGGCGAGGCCTCGGGGGCGTCGGTGGAGTCGGCGGCAGAATTGCCGGTAGGGGTGGCGGCCTTCTGAGTGGCCTTGTTGCCGTAGAGGGAGGCGTTGCCGCAGTAGATGCTTACTTGGCCTTCGGCCTCGGTCTTGCGGGAGTCGCCAGGGCAGTTGTTGTAGCAGCTGTTTGTTTTGTTAATACGGAGATGGGGGGAAAAGAGAGAGAGAGAGAGAGAGAGAGAGAGAGAGAAGAAGCGTACGTGGAGATGGCCTGCTGAGCGGCACACTGGCAATCATAGTCGGTGGCACCGCAGGCCTTGAACTTGTTGCCCTCGGACTCGAGACAGGTCTGGACGATGACCTCGGCGGCGCATTCTTGTTGGGCCGAGACGGCGGCGGCGAGGAGGGCGAGGGGGAGGAAGAACTTCATTGTTGCGGTGGTGTGGTGGGTATTAAAAGGAAAGATTAAATATTAAAGAAGATTGTAATAACGAAAAATGCAAAATATTTACTTTTTTTTAATATCTTCAAAAAAAGATTGAAGGTTTTATTATGCTCAACGAGTGGAATGGTTGGAAAAGAGAGTTTTGGGGGGGAGGGAAAAAGGGAACAGACGAGGAGAATGAAGGGGACCCGGTTTGGTTTAATATCTGGACATGGGATGTGTGAGACCTTGTGCTGACCTTGGGAAAACACTACCTTGACCCTCGTAAACACCCCAGAGGTTGTGGCGGCCCGGACGTGGTGCGAGATTTGGGGATCCAGGCGGGGGGCTTGGTTAGCCGCACCTCCCCTGACGAGAAAAAGGAAAGAACATCAAATCAATGCAGGATTTCACCTGGATCTTGGCTAGGCCTGTGCTTGTCAGGCGAGTCGGTTTGGTTGTTCCTCTCATCTTCCTCTCATCCAAAATGATATGAGCCAGGGGGGGTGGGCTGGCAATTTTGATTCAGCTGCAAAGGGGAGTGATTATGGGGAGAAGTCCAGGAGCTAAAATGGGCATAGGCCTTTCCCCCCTGAAGATTGAGCTTGCATTTTGATACCAGGGTTCTTCAAATACCGCATCCATCCTTCAGAGTATTGATATCATTGATCAAACTCGTTGATGGTAGCCTCAGTGTTGACTGCTTCATATGAAGCACAAACGGCGAAGGTTTCCCGGTTCTGTTCTGGGGTACTCAAGGCGCGAGTTCACAAATCGCCTAGATGTTCCTGTGAGATTGGTACGCCAGGGTGGTTCGGCCCAGCGCAGCTCAGGCACCTCGACGGGGTTTACAGAGTCACTAAATCCAGGTACCCGCAGGCACCGTGGAAAAGCTCCGGATCAATCAAATCAACGGAGGATGCCGCTTCACTCGAACGCCTACTCAGTGCGAAGTACTTCGTAGTGTGTGTGCATTAGTGAATTAGTGAACAACCCTGCCTGTTTTTTGCCAGCTGTGGCGTCACAGGCCTAATTTCACAACCGCTGTTTCATCTTTTCGTAGCGATGGACGAAGGAGAGTCTCGACTCTCTCCTCATCGTCTTCGAACTCCTCATGTTTCCGCCCACCAGCAATATCAATATTTGCCCTCGATAGGCACCTGATCAAGGAAACACGACGTTGGGTCGATATTAAAGATACGAAGAGACGAACAGTTTATGCAGCTGTGGTCGCCAGAGCTCGTATTCCATCTGCTATGACAACCAGCCTAAAAGTGAATGGGTTGGGAGTTTGCAGTCCTTAGACTCTATTGGTACATCAATTGATGCATCCATATGCTGCATCGAGACAGTATGGGAAGACTGCACATGGATCACGCTCGGATTGAACTAATGTTTCCCCATGTGGTTTCCGCCCACTCTGGGGCCAATGCATGAAGGGCAAACCGGAACACGCGTAGGCATGCACCAACACAACGAGCTTCTGTATTCCCAGCAGACCAGGCGCGCCCACTTTTAGTGCCGAGCGACGAATCATTCTGGCGATCTGAAAAGCTTGTTGCATACACGGCCGTGACGGTCGGTATGGGCATTCAGAGACCAATGGAGTCTACGAAGCACGAAGCACAGATCTGGCGGATCCGGGGTCCGGAGTTTTAGACCGGAGCTCCAATTTCTGGATCCTTAAAAAGGTAACCTCAACTGTTTACGCTTTGCTTTTTTGTTTCTTGTTTCTTGCTCTCCTAAGATTCATCGTGTGCTTATGCGGCGGACTGGTTCATGTGTGTCTCAGGACCGAAGCTTGCATGCCAGAGTACTTCATGCATGAAATTGGAGGCTCGGACGGCTGAAGAGGCTGGCTCTTCTCGTGTGATTTGTAAATACAGGCAATAAATGCCAAAGAGGTGGAAAGAAGAAGGGGTTGGCGGCCAGGGGGGGCATAACATTAGCCATGGTCCAGCTCCATCTCAATGTCTTCACCACGGTCCCCCCCTCCGCTGCGATACCCCAAGGACACGAAAGGGGATCTATGTCCACAAGGACCGCTCGATACTTGAGACGAGTTCACCTAGGGTCGAGACAACGTAAGAGAAAAAGGGCCTCGCACGTGGCAGAGGAGACTCGAATTGTCCTCCTCAACTGTTATATGTCTTTGTCGGTTTCAACGTCCCGCAGTATTTCCTGAGCATGGGACTTCTCCGAGCTTCGATCCCGATCACTGAATTCAGTTACCCCAGAGTGTTCGTATGAAAAGCATGATCTCAGAGTAACCAGGCTGTCTTTTGTCTTTGCCATAGAATGAGCTCACGCAAGCCCGAGGATGTTGGGGATTGGTTGACCAAGAACCATGATCATGATCAGCATAAGTTAGGTTACTCCTGACGGATCGTCTGCGAGGATGCAGCCATGATCCCCATATATTCACTCGCGACCCTTCCAGAAAACCCCTTGATCTAGGATGAGACTTCAGGAAGCCGAATAGCAAAGGACCTGTCTTTGGGCTTGGCATCTTGGCATACTAGAAGCTCAACTCATGCTCAACGGCCGACGGTTGTTCGAGCCAAGGCTGTCGGTTGAAACGAAGCGTCATCCAGCACGTAACGAGGTGAGATAGAAATCGTGCCTAGTGCAATTGGTGGAGCTCGGAACTCCGGCTTATTATTCTAGTAGGAAATACCAATGTCATCAATCTCATCAATATACCGAGGTTCTGCTGAATTATAGTGTCTCGACTGCCTGGGCCAAGTTGAAGGAAGGCAAGGCAGGAGGAGTCAGTCGACTTCCTTTTCTGAGCCCGCCTGCCGTAATCTGCTGGCTCCAGCTGGTACTCAACTGTCGACGTAATCCCGCAGAAAATCATTGGCGTGTCGCGCACAGACCACCTAGAGCAACCCGAGCAAGGCTGCGGTCGAAATATTTCGTGAGCTTCCTTTGTCCAGTTTCGACCACGACAAAACATCAACTTTCTTTATCCTGCCATCATTTTATTTCCTCGAGCCTGTCATCTTTGTGGATTATAGAGCAAGTAAGTGGCCCCATTCTATTCAGCAAGTTTATTCTCCATTCCTTCTTTCATTGATGCCCATTCCATTGGCTCCTCCCATTCCAGAAGCTCCGTGCTTGTCATTGACCTGATCATTGTCGCGTCAGGCAACCCCACCGTGATGAAATTATCTTTAGAGCTCTCATGCTGTGATTTCCCAAGTTGTTAACCAGCTTGACAGTCCTCAGTCCTCTACAGAATTCTATTCTTTTTTTCTTAACTCTTTCCTACCTACAAGTGTTCTACTAAAAGGTATGGTCTCTTGTCTTGGGCCTCCCTGCCTTGACTTCTAAAATCCCAACTGACTGGAGCTTTACAGAATCGATCCTTATCCCGAGACGCAACCATGTCGGAAGAAAACCAGAATAAAGACCCCATCCCTAGTGACACTGTTGTCACGACAGGAGAGGAGGGCCATGAAGAGGAGGTACGCTTTGTGTGTTATATGCGCTCTGTGTGATTTTTCGTGTTCCCTCAAAAATCCAAAAAAGAAAAAAGAAAAAGAACGAGGGCCTGTCAAATCCGCAAAAGTGCCAAACCAAAGAGCAACGACGGAAACGGCCTTGGGAATCTCTCCCTCTCTCTTTTTCTTCATCATTTCCGCAAAACACAAAAGGCAATAATGTTGCCGCTCCCGTCGAACACGTTTATACTGAAGCATTGCATTATGTTTTTTCTTGAAATAGGAGGAGATCTCAGCGATGAAGAAGCGCGTGGCGGAAATGGAAGAGGAGGCTGCGAAGCTTAGAGAGATGCAGGCTAGCCTCAACCAACAAGCCCACGAGACTTCGGAAAACAAGGAGGACGTCGACAACCGGAGTATCTTCGTCGGCAATGTCGATTACTCGGCATCTCCCGAGGAGATTCAGGCTCACTTCCAGAGCTGTGGGTCGATTAACCGCGTTACCATTCTGCTGGACAAGTTTACTGGCCAACCGAAGGGGTAAGTTTACGCACCACTTCACTCGTTCCTTTCCTGACACAATCCTCGGGTCCTGCCCCCTCCCTCCCGTCTATTTAATTGATTCCTTTCTTGTTTCTATCCGCGTGCCTTTATGCCCTTGCTTCTTGACTAACGAGACGTCATCTCCAACCTAGCTATGCGTACGTCGAGTTTACGGAACCGAGTCTGGTAGCCCAAGCCCTTGTCCTAAACGAGAGCGTCTTCAAGGGAAGGAACATCAAGGTCGTTCCCAAGCGGACCAACATACCCGGTATGGGCCGAGGCCGCGGCCGCGGTGGATTCCGCGGTGGACGTGGCTTTTTCGGCGGCCGGGGCTTCCCTCGAGGAGGCGGCTATCGTGGTGGCTACCGAGGCCGTGGAAGGGGGTTCACGCCCTATTAGGAACTGGACTCGTGGAGGAGATCTGATTAGAGGGACTGTGTTTGGAATGGCCTAGGGACTTTTTTCTTTTCTTTTCTGCGCTTTGGACAAGACTCGGGCATGCTTATCAAGGAGCAAAGGAAACGGGACGGTTTTCTTCTTCTTCTTTTTTTTGTCTTTTTTCCTTGTTTCTTTATTAACGGCGGCGTCGATTCTGGAACTTCTCTTTTTTTTTTTTTTTTTTTTTGAAACAATACTAGATTGACCGAAACGGCACGTTGTAGGTTTGGCAAAACCTGGGATCGTTTGTGTTTTTGGAACTTGTTCCTGTAAAAGCGCGGGAGAGAAAAGCGGCGGAGAAAGGGACACCCCAAAAGCTGGTGGGATTGGACAAGTAAGACGATGAGTGTAAGGGACTGGAAGCATGTATGGTTTCTCGCTTCATGTTTTCCTCTTTCTTTCTTGTAATTTTCCAAGATATTGCTACATTCTTTTTTCTTTTCCTCTTTTTTTTTTCTTTTCCATTTTCAAATGTAGTCTCAGCCAATATCCTCTGGGAAATACCAAAACCGTCATCCCGTCATCTAAGCCCCCAAAGAACGGGAGATCCCTCTCGTACTTCGTGTAGGGACATCTCGTGCTCCGCCTTCCAAGTACGTTCCATCTGTAAGTTTGAGGGACGGTCGGCAAGGTTGACTAGTTGCATCGGAAGCCCGGCTCTTTCGGGCTTACTTTCCTGTTGGTGATATACTCCTGCTATTGCAAGAAAACTTCCTAAATGGGATGAATGGGACAGCCGTGCTGGCGATGGGAGAGGATAGTCGCCAGCGGAACATGGCCGTAGCTTATGTATTACACCTTTTTCTTCGGTGTGCTGTTATCCCCCATGTGGAGGACCTTGAGCGTACGTCTCTTTCGGCCAAGACAATCCGGCCGGGGATAACATGCAGGTTTTCGGGCTAGAGAGACTGTCAAGCTTACATCCGGGGGTTACATAGTGATGTCGCAATATCGGAGAGCGTTTCGAGGCGCAGGGCGCAGTGGGAATGTTTATGGTCCTATCAAATTCATATTGGTCTCTTTGTTGGGGAGCAGGGTATTGCATAGCTGGTCACAGGAAAGGCGGAGAACATATCCGAGCGTGGGGCTGTGAGAGGACGGACGTGAGTCTTGGTGAAGACAGGTCCATGATGATGTCAATGGTGAGGGATGCCATGAGGATCTCTCCGTGAGATACCTAAGCAATGAGATCGCAACATGCTGCTTTCGTGGTCCAGTTTTTTCCCCCTTTACTTTTCCCCCCTTCTGATAGTCTCCCTCGAATCGGATCTGATGGATAGTTAGAATCGAGGCGGAGTGGGTTCTAGCTCTGTTCGTCTCCAGCGTTCTCCCCCCACAGTCGGGTCCTCCCAAGAGATAATGGAGTCCGGCCGGTTGGATAGGTATCGAGCTTGAGCCCGCCGATGCCTGCCGAGTAGCTGATGGCGGGCTAGCCTGCCAAGTCGATTTGATGTTGGTTGTTAAGCCTAGTAGCAGCAATTATTCACTGCTGAAAAATGGCTTGACTTGGTGGATTTTGGGGCCTCAAAGCCTCAAACTGAGGGAATTGGGTTATGACGCCAGAATGAGTTTGGGTGCTGGGTACATTGGTAAACGGTTCTGCATGCACTCTGGGCTTTGTACCAGTTACTTGGGCCAGAAATACCCCGCCGCTAAAACACGAGCCATCGAGGCGAATGCTTGGACTGATCAATGCTGGAGGTTGCTCTTGCCCTCTTGTCCGTTTATTAACACATTGACCAATGCAACTGGGACTTTAACTAGAGCTGGGACCTGGAATGGGCCCTGTTGCGCTCTGCCCTTCTTTGGGCATGAATAGGAAATGCTGCTCTCCATGTGTCATCGAGTCCATTTAGATCAAACTCGTTGACGTCCGAATCCATCTGGCTGTAACATTGACGGTCTGGAGGCCGCCTGTGACTCTGCGACTCTGAGACTTTGGCGGATCGTATGGAAGAGGAAGGTACTTTTGACTTCCGCCTATAATTGATACTCAAGCTGTTACGAGCGCAAGTAGCAAGTACGGGTACAGTGTAAGAGTGTGATGCATGGGCGAGGCATGCTTCATCGACACTGGTCAGACCGAGGGGTATTACGAAGTACGAAGTACCCCAGTACTACAATACGCTCTGTGAGGTACTCTACGTACACCACTTCATACACCACTTCGTACGCTACACTCCACTACTAAAGACCTGCTCAACTGCTCACGTACCGCGTACCCCACCCTCTGCGCCTTCCCTCGACCACTGATGGCAAAATCCTCAACGGCACCATTTCAAGAGCGATTGAATCGGTCGAAACCAGCCGAAGCTTTTCCCATCTTCCTCAAGAACCTCGGGGGGACCACTCTTCAGCCTTACTTCTACATCGCTGCAGGCTCGTCTCTTGCACCTCCATCGACGAAGCATCGAATCCACTCGACAGCCTTCCCCTACAGTATTGTAGCCCCCGACGACACCGCTACCAACGATCCCACTGTCCCCCGACTCCTCATTTCAAGGACACTTTGCTCGGGCTTGCCGCCCGCCACCGCCGCCCCTCCCCCTCCGATCTGGTTCTAATCGATTCTCGCTTTCTGCCGCCCGTTTCGAGGTCCCCCTCGATAATCCTAGAACGCAGACAACATCCACCGAGCTTGTTTTCCTTCTTTTTCACCTTGCAACGAGACATTTCCTCGCGTGGACTGCTATTATTGTCTTGGCCTGCTCCTAGACCTGTCAGACCCTCAAGTAAGCACTACACCACGCCGCATTCGAACGTACTTAGGACACCAACAACAACAACATCCTCCTTGCGTGCTTGAAATTCCTCACGCCCTCTCCTCCCCCTGCCTTGTCGTTCCACGACCCACTGCCCTCATCTCCCAAGTTCTCTCGCACTTGGAGCCTGTGCAAAGCACACGACCCCTAAACTGCCCCAAGTTGACTCAAGATTACTTGAGTCTGAGTGCTTGATGACAAAAAAATAAAGGTGTGGAGGCACTGGGCTATTACCTCACTACACCACTTTTTGCACAGCCTCTCTTCGTTTCTTTTGCAGTTGCATGGTTCAATGCTCCTTTCTAGCTTCCAACCCAACCCCACTGTCGTTGGTGCTCCGATACATTTGATTCTCTTCCTTGGATTGTTCACTGCCACAGCAATCGGAACCGTCCCCCTTCAACGAGTCTGGTGAACACGTAACTGACACGTGCACTACACCCTTTCCAGAAGCGATAGAAAGAGAGACATATTCGTCTTATCCATTTCGAGCAGCTGACCGTTCCTATCGAGTTTGTTTATGAGATTATCGGTCCTGGTCCTGCCTGCGACTTGCCTTCTTCGAATCCGAGACGAGTCGATCATTGTCCTGCGATAGACCGAAACCGGGAAACGATTCTCGAGTCTTTGGGCAATCTCGTGCCCCTCGGTTGTCCCCTTCATAGGCAGCACATCTCCCACAGGGCAATATATCCTTGTCGCTGGGGCTTTTCGCGATAAGATGTCGTCCCGTACGGATGCTGGTCTTTCCAGGTATGTTGTGGGCCGTGGATAGTACTAGACCGTTGATATTCATCACCATCTCTCCGATCCATTCGCCATCATCCAGGAATATTCTCCAGACTATATATCCCGTGTAGCCTTATATTTCATGCATAATACGACTTGCGTATGCTAACTGTTGTCCCTTGTTTCTAGCACTCCAAATCTCCGAGTAACGAGTACGACTTGATTCCCCCCGATATCGGTTAACGTATCTTTTGCGTGGAGCTGTGTGTGCCTTCTAACACCTCATTACAGTTATTGCCGCCGATGGTCTTGCGAAGCGAGATGTTTTCAGTACGCTTGACTCCTCGGAGCTGCCCTCTATGCCTGCGCTACTCACGTACGCATACTGACCTCGTGTCCGAATAGGATTCCCTGATCCCTTTGCTGTTGCGACCATTAATGGCGAACAGACCCATACAACGACCGTAGCCAAGCGAACGTTGAACCCATATTGGAACGAGAGCTTTGACTTGTATGGATTTCCCTTCTATAAGATTTCCCGTCCCCCCCGTGTACGCCCTACGTCAGTTCGTTTACTGACAGATTGCCATTAGCCGAGTCACCGAAGACAGCATTCTTGCTGTTCAGGTTTTCGATCAGCGCAAGTTCAAGAAGAAGGACCAAGGGTTTCTCGGTGTTATAAATGTCCGCATTGGAGATGTTATCGAGTTGGAGTTGGAGGCAGATGGTTCGCTCCCCCCGCCCTCCCCCCCCTTCTTCTGTTGTGCCGCGCTGGCACTTTCGATTTGCCATTAAACTATAAGCTAACTCGTAGACACCCTTCTCAGACCATATGCTTACCCGCGACCTAAAGAAATCAGCAGACAACTTAGTGGTTCATGGAAAGCTCATTGTAAACCTTTCGACGAACCTGGCGAGGCCGGCCCGTAATGGGGGCGGATCGGGTCCGTCAGCGTCAAGCAACTCTGCAGGTCCATCCAGCCTCGCACCACAAAACTCTAACCTATCATCTCTAGCCTCGTCGGATAATAGACCAACCTCGTCCTTGTCCGGCCCGAACGGTGTTGCTTCTACTGGATCCCAGGCTCAGCTTCCCATCCGACCGGCGAGCATCAATGCGACGGCAGGCCCTAGTCAGCAGCAGCCGCAGTCACAGCAGCAGCCTCCTGCTGCTACTGCACATGCACCTGTACCTGCATCTGCGGTAGCCTCGTCGTCATCGTCCAATTTCCCCGGACGCCAAGCATCATCGCAGCAGCAGCAACAACAGTCGCAGCAGCTCAGTCCCTTTGAAGACTCTCACGGGCCGTTGCCCGCCGGTTGGGAGCGTCGGGAAGACAACCTCGGCAGAACCTATTATATCGACCACAATAGGAGGACCACGAGCTGGAAACGTCCGTCGGCTAATGGCACCGTCGAGTCCAGAGTTGATCGTGAAGCGGCCACCCAAGTGGAGCGACAGCGACATCTGAACCGTACCCTTCCCGAAGATCGCACCGGCGCCAGCTCGCCCACTCTTTCGCAGGCGCAAACCCAGGTCCAGCAGCAATCGCCACCCCAACAACCCTCGAGTCCTTCGCAGATGGCAGTTGCGGGCGCCGCTACACAGCCCGGCACTGGAGAGCTTCCACCCGGCTGGGAGCAGCGCTTCACGCCCGAAGGCCGCCCCTACTTTGTCGACCACAACACTCGAACCACCACGTGGGTGGACCCCCGCCGACACCAGTACGTTCGCGTATACAGCCCTCACAACAATTCGAACGGCTTCCAGCAGCAGCCTGTCTCGCAATTGGGTCCCCTACCTAGCGGGTGGGAGATGCGTCTCACCAATACCGCCCGTGTCTACTTCGTCGACCACAACACCAAGACTACAACCTGGGACGACCCGAGGCTGCGGTCTTCTCTGGACCAGAACGTGCCGCAGTACAAGCGCGACTTTAGGAGGAAACTCATCTACTTTAGGTCGCAGCCCGCCATGCGCATCCTTTCTGGCCAGTGCCATATCAAGGTGAGGCGGTCTCACATCTTTGAGGATTCGTTTGCGGAGATTCAACGGCAATCTCCCACGGACCTCAAGAAGCGACTGATGATCAAGTTCGACGGAGAGGACGGTCTCGACTACGGTGGTCTTTCTCGAGAATTCTTCTTCCTGCTCTCGCACGAGATGTTCAACCCCTTCTACTGTCTCTTCGAGTACTCGGCGCACGACAACTACACTCTGCAGATTAATCCCCACTCGGGCATCAACCCCGAGCATCTCAACTACTTCAAGTTTATCGGTCGCGTTGTCGGTCTGGCTATCTACCACAGGCGCTTCCTCGATGCCTTCTTCATCGGCGCGCTGTACAAGATGATTCTCGGCAAGCCCGTCGTGCTGGCGGACATGGAGGGTGTCGACGCCGACTTCCACCGGTCGCTGCAGTGGATGCTGGACAACGACATCTCGGGCGGCGTGCTGGAGCAGACGTTCTCAACGGAGGACGAGCGGTTCGGCGTCGTGACGGAGGAGGACCTCAAGCCCAACGGCCGCAACATCGAGGTGACGAACGAGAACAAGAAGGAGTACGTCGACCTCATGGTCAAGTGGCGCATCGAGAAGCGCATCGCGGAGCAGTTCCAGGCGTTCAAAGAAGGCTTCCACGAGCTCATCCCGCAGGACCTCATCAACGTCTTCGACGAGCGCGAGCTCGAGCTCCTCATCGGCGGCATCGCCGAGATCGATGTCGACGACTGGAAGAAGCACACCGACTACCGCGGATACACCGAGACCGACGAGGTCATCCAGTTCTTCTGGCAGACCATCCGGTCGTGGGACGGCGAGCAAAAATCCCGCCTGCTCCAGTTCGCCACGGGTACCTCGCGTATTCCTGTCAACGGGTTCAAGGATCTGCAGGGGAGCGACGGGCCGAGGAGGTTTACGATTGAGAAGGCTGGTGATATTAATAACCTGCCCAAGGCGCATACATGGTAAGTTTATGGAGCCCCCCTCCCCCTTTTCTTCTTCTTCATACAACAACAATACTGACGCTCAGTCTTAGTTTCAATCGTCTTGATCTACCGCAGTACAAGTCGCTCGAGATGCTCCAGCAAAAACTCACCATTGCCGTCGAGGAGACTATGGGCTTCGGGCAGGAGTAAGTTAAGCAAAGGGCGGGAAACACAAGATAATAAGAGCTGGGCTCTTCTTCCGCCCGTGGTGGGTTTGGATGGAGTGGAGGTGTCCAGGTGGGTTTCTCTGAGTCTGTGTGATAAGGTTCTGTTTGTCGTTCCTGCGCTGCAAAGGGAAACAGTGTATTATCTTTGTTGTGGCAGAGAGGAGGAAGATCCCCCTTGCCAGTTCTCTCATCGCTGCTCTGTTTTCTTTTCTCATTTTTTCTCCTCTGTTTTCTCATTGGGGATGTGCCTAGAGAGGGAAGGGAAAGAAGAAGGAAGATACAAACTTAGCGTTTCCCTCGATGCGGTGCGACCCCATGGTTGCTTCAGCCTAGGGAGAAAGAGAAGAGGACTACCAGGCCCGGATTGGGGATTGGGAGGGAAAATGGGGCAGCAAGAGAGGGACAACAGGCAACGTTGGCACAACGTTTCATGATTCATGATAGATTGGTGGAATATGGAATTGTAGCGGCTTTTGTTTCACCCCTTTTATTTTTTATTTTTATTTTTATTTTTCTTTCTCTTTTTATTATCGCCCATCATCATCATTGTCTTACTTCTTCTTCGTCTTCTCTTTTCTCACCTATTGTGTATCTCGCGGGATTAATCCTTTCTATTATTGACAATTGGAGCGTTTGGTTTTGGCTTTGACTCCTTTTTTCTCGTTCCCTCTCCTCGACCTTGTTGTTTTATACATCGCCGCTCATCTTGCTTCTCTACTTCACCGCGCTGTGTATAGCCTTTGGTAGTGCAGAACATGGGATGTTTTGCTTTGCTAGGGGCGGGAGGGGTTTCTTTCGAGTTGGCTGGTTTCAGGGAGGAGTTTTTGGCCGAGGGTGGATTCTTCTTTTTTTATTTAGTATTGATATACGGCTGTTCTTTTATTCTTTTTTCTTAATCATGTTTCTTCTCATGTGAGTGAGAGTGCGGTCTTGGGCGATGTTGGATGTGTGGACGAGGCGAGATGGCTCTCACTTGTAAGTTTGTCGAGAATGAGAATATCTTTGCTGTCTCGCCCTGTGATGGACGCCTAGTCCGGTCCTCCCTTGCGTAGGGCCAGGAAGAGTAACCTAGAGAGGGAGAGGGAGACTCATGTGTAACGAGGGCGGAATTCAGAAAGTTCACGTCGTTTAAAATGCCAGATTCAAGGACTAATGCTGATTCTCTTCTCTTGACCATCCTATTCCTATTCCTCATCGCCATTCTTCCGCCTCGACTTATATGATCCATAACCCTCCCCGGATCGTAGAGCTCTATCTATGTACACGGCAGAGACAAGTTTGCAAAGAAAACAAAGGAGAGGTGTGGAAAGGACGGGAGAGATCGGGAGATGTATATATTCCCCCTTACACTTTAAAACCCGTCCGGACAACCCCAAAAAAAAAGCATTAACAAGGTTAACAAAACATGGGGGGGAACGCCCTTTTTCTGGGTTTTCATATTTTTAGGAAACTTCAATCATGCCCCAAACCCGGAGATATGGACACATACACGTACTCACTCGCACACAAGTTCTCTCTTGAAAGTCTGAAAGAAAGACGGGAGGTCCCTCGGAGAGTTATATGACGTTGTTGATTTTCCGTTCTTTTTTTTCTCTTTACTTGCGGTACCACATCCTCGTAATCTTGGTATTCCGCATCTTCCTCTGAAGCTGGAAGATACCTATTATTCGCAATATCTCGTCAGCAAATAAACCCCCTCCAGGAAACACAACAGCATAGCAGCGTAGGCCCGTAACGTCCATCACTCACCATACATAAGGGCCTCACTCGTAGGAGGACACCCAGGAACATAAACATCAACAGGAACAATCCTATCACAGCCACGAACGACGCTATACGAATAATGGTAGTAACCGCCGCCGTTGGCGCAGCTGCCCATGCTGATGACCCATCGGGGATCGGGCATCTGATCGTAGACCTGGCGCAAGGCGGGAGCCATCTTGTTGGTGAGGGTTCCGGCGACGATCATGATGTCGGACTGGCGGGGGGAGGCTCGGAAGATGATTCCGAGACGATCCTGATCGTAGCGGGGGGTGGAGAGGTGCATCATCTCGACGGCGCAGCAGGCGAGACCAAAGGTCATGGGCCAGAAGGAGGATTGGCGGGCCCAGTTTGTTATGATGTCGAGGGTGGTGCTGTTTTTAAGAGTGAGAAGTGTTGTTAGTTAAGCTTGACCGGTGCACGATAAGAGACGGCGAGACGTGGCGTAAGGAGTGAGGCCTTTTTGCTGGGGAGAAGCATATAGGAGTGTCCTTGGGGGGAGGGAAAAAAAAAACGAACAGGGCATATTGGACGACGCCCTTGGTCTTTTCCTGGCTCGCCAAAGGAACTTCTATGCGCGGCTTGCGGGTGACGGAGCCGGCGCCGTGGGGGGTGAGGGAGCTTGCTTGACGGGTTGAGGGGATCGACGCGACGGGGAGGATGGATCGGTAGGCGACGACAGCCGACGAAGGCTTGGCTGTATCGGAGGCAACAAAAACAACGTTAGCGATTTAATCAATTCAATTGATGATATATTCGTCCATATTTCGAGTGTTATCGGTGGCGAGGCTGGTCGATCGAAAGGGACGCAATTGGTGATGAGATATCGGACGGCCGGAAAGGCTCGGGTGGAGCATTCCACTGGAAAGAAGGGGGGGGGACACATACCGCGAAGGGCCATGGACGCCGCCGTCCTCGTAGTCGGTAGCATCATGGTTTGCTCGGAACTCTCTGGACCGGGAGGGGCGGGGGGTTGGAGTGGAGAGGGGAGACCGCAATGGCGTTGACTGCGGGTTTGGGGATGGCGATTTGGTGATGCTCGAGGATTTTGAAAGTTGACGTTGGAGACTTCCGAATTTGAGAGGTGCAATTGGGTGATTACGAGAGCCGTGATTGGCTGGATTGGGGAGATGGACTGTGTGCTTATGTAATTGGAGCTGGCAGCTGAGGTACAAGGTACAAGATACAAGATACAAGGGACGAAAGATCAAGGTACAAAAGTACATGCCGAGATTGAGGGCATCACGACTTCAACCTTACATCTCTACTCTCCGTTTGTTCAGGGAGGAGCCCCAGACTCGATGAGAACATTGGAACACACAAGTCACGGTAGGTCAAAAGAGGCAAGGGACAAGATTCAGATCAGTGATCAGTGAGTTCATATTATTTTTCCTCTTCCTTCCCCGGTTATCCAGGCCTTACGCAGACCAGGAATGTTGGAGATTGAACTCGCGGAAGCTAAACTAGAATACAACATGCAGACTTTGGCACCGTAACGAGTGGCACGCATGTCAAGATGGGGGTTTCTGACCGCTCATCGTTTCTCGGGCCGTCTTGACAGCGCTATTAGAACGGTTTTTTTTTCCCTTTTTTTGTTTCTTTTTTCATTTTCCTGATTTTGGATTTTGGAAACCTTTGTGCGGAAAAGGATGATGGAAATGGGAGGGCAGAAGAATGACGGTAGGTGTGCTGGCCAGTGTGCCCCTTTTCCTCGGCTTTTCCAAAAGAAAAAAAACCCCAACAAGAGAAATGCTGTAAACAAAAGAGCAAACAAAGGAAAAAAATGCATGAACAGTAGAAAAACAAGAAAACAACGCCCAAACCCAGCAGCTCGGATACTGGACCTGGCGTGAGAAACCCGGCATCTAGCTCCCACCACACAGACGCATCCGCAAGAGGCGAGATCCAACGCCAGGGAAGAAACGATCGCTGCCCAAACTAGCGCCTCGGTTGACAAGGGACTTGAGTCCCATCTCGGGACTCCTTTTCACGATCGAGTCCGTCGACCTCGTTTGGTTCGTCGGAAGAAGCTCGTTTCGAAGCGTCGGCATTGTCTTCCCCCGTAGACTGGAAGAGAAGCCTGCCTCGTAGAGAGAACCAAGGCCTCTCTTCCCCTGGTAGATCCCCAATATAGCAGCTCGAAATGTAAGTTCCCCGAGACGCAGACCTTGTTTTCTCGCGTCGAAGTAGTCCGTACTACCCCCCTCCATGGTTCAACAAAACCTCTCGGTAGTCAGAGAGGGGCCAAAATGTGGCGTCCAATCCAAGCAAAAGAATAAAAGAATCGTCCCGTAATTCAGGGACGAAGGGGGGATGAAAAACACATCAAGGCAGGTAGCCGAGGACGACGGTTCAGCCTGTCTGTCGGTGATATTCTCAATGGAGACACGCCCCCTCCATCCCCTCCCCCGGGAACCCGTATTGGAGGGGACCTTTTCTCGGGTTGTACAGGTTCTGCATCTCTCTTTTGGTCATGGCCATTACGGGCGAATCTCCCTTGTGTTTCCCCTCAGGTCATGGTTGGAAATGGGAGCTGTCCTTCTGGGTCGTTTAGTCGAAGGGCTGTGCGGTGTCACGATTGCCTCCCTCACCACGTTGAAGTGTCCATGCTGGGAGGAACAGAGCTGAAAGAAGAACAGTAAAAAAGACAAGCAAGAAAAAGAACAAGAAAGAGAAGAAGAAGAAGAGGAAGAAGGGACTGGAAACAAACCCAAGGAAGGAAGAACATGAGCACAAGTAATTTAACACCGATGAACAGACTCCATGAAGCCGACGAAAAAAACATAGACAAAAAGAAGAAAAAAACGTCAAGTAGTACCACCACACTCCCTCACAAGACAGTTCCGCCGAAAGGCAGAGAGCCACACACTTGCGTCCAATTAGTTCTCTCTTTTTTTTTTCATCATCAATAAAAAGACTTTCTTCGAAAAAAAGAAAAAAAAAAATTCAAAAGACTTTGCAGTTCCATGTCCACGTCATGTGAAGCTACAATCAAAACTGAATACGCCCGGCCAGCGGAAGGCTCAGACGCATCCTTATTCCACACGTCAGCCCAACAAACAACAAGAACAAACACTCCTCACAGCTCTTCCTAGAACCAAGGACACAAAGAGATCGGCCGGAGAGAACTTACCCTATGCCGCATGGAGCCCGGCCACGGCCCGGCGATGTGCCTCCACCTTCGCGCTACCACCACCCATGTCGCCACTGCCCGGGCCGCCACTGCTTGCTCCGGGCATCAAGTACGACGTGCCAGCTCCTCCCACAGAGCCTGCGGGTGGAGGCGGAATTGCCGTGTAGACTTGGCCGTTTGCAAGCTGCGGTCCCGAGGATCCAGAGTCGCCTCGATGAGGTGAGCCGGAGTACCTGTAGGCCAGCTCGGTGCTGGGCGACTGCGTACGCAGGGCGTTCTCCGCCGCGGAGAAAATGGACTCGCTGGCCGAAGAAGCCTTGAATGAAGCCATAGGAGAGGGCTGCTGGGTGGTGGTGGCCTGCTGAACTGAGTGGGCATACGCAGTAGCAATAGGAGAGCCATCGTAGGCGCTATATCCACTCGTAACGTCGGGGATGGTAGTGACGGGCGACGTGTGTGCGCTAGATGCCACCGAAGATCCAACCTTGGCCAGCTGGTAAAGGCTAGTCGACGAGTCACTTCTGTAAGAAGCTAATCCGTTGGAGCCGGCGAGGTTTCGCGTAGGGGACGGCAGCATCCTCTCCTTGCTGGAAACACCATGAAGCTGCTGCGGATGCGACTGCGGCATCGAAGCCGCCACGCTCGTCAGCGAAAAGTTCGAAAGGTCCGCGGCACTGAGAGGCACCTGCTGCGGCCTGTGCACCAAATTTGGTGAATTAGTAGTGTAGGGGTAACCCGGGTCGACATCAATGTAGATGCCTCCGTTCGCAGCAGCAGCGGCGGCGCCGTTGCTATACTTGCCACCGGGACTCAACCTGTTGTTGGCACCACATTTCAAGGTTAGGCGAGCCTCGTCCTCCAGAGTCAGGCACGGGTACGAGTGATGGGATTGGGCATGGGTATGGGCATACTGCAGTCCGTAGTCACCACTATCCTCGGCGTACCCGTTCGACCATCCAGGGACGGGCCCGTAATATGGCTTTCCGGCATAGGGGTACGCCGAGCCAGGGCTTTGCCGGTACGAGCCCAGCATCTCGCCAGATGCCATGGCGGGTAAGCCGTCAGGAGAGAACTGGCTGACGGCCGGGCTCATAGATACACTGCCTCTGGCGTGGTACGTTCTTGCCGTGTCCATAGTATATGCAAAGTTGGATTCGTTCCTTAATATCGTTTCCCTCGAGGATACCTATATCTCGGATAACAGTCGCTAGGTGTTAGCCTGGACCATACGTGAAAAAGAAGTGGAAAGGGGATTGTGCGTGAACAAAAAGCAAAAACAGTCCCCAGGATCTGTACTAACTCGAAGGAAGAGGCAAGTTTCCACTCCCGCGTTCTTGCAGTTGTGGCATGGCAGTCCATTGCCGGGATCACCGCTACATCGTATCTTCCGCTTCCTACATCGTCCGCACTAAAAAGTCAAACAGAAAAATACCAAGTTAGCAATCATCGAGGCTCAAGCTGGGAAACAAAGGGGGAAAAAAAAGTGAAGGCCGCCGTCTCCGACATCTTAACTGCATCTCAGGGTCTCGAGAACCGGCATTCCCGTTACTCGCAGCTCTCAAACACACGTCTCACGACAAAGAAAGTCCCCAAAGCACAGTCCCGAGCATCGGAACACGGATGTGTGACTTCGGCAGAGGAGGAAACACCCCTTTCCAGAAAGAAGGAAAGCAAAAAGCGAAGGTGGGAGAGAGACACGGCCAAGACTTACGGCAACAGCGATGCGCTTCCTGGGAGGGTTATTATCCGAGTCGTTCTCTCGTTCCGCCATTGTCGTTGTTGTTCGTATGTGAGGATCGTGGGAGGATGTGTGATGGCATCGACGATCTGAAAAATACGGGGGACCGCGGCGACTATATCGTCCGGCATCCGGTGGGTAGCAGACTGAGCTGGTCATATTTACGTCTTCTGATTGGAAGGGGGTGTGTGCTTTTTGGCTCGAAGACGTTCCTAGGTTCGCCCGGGGGAACAAGCAGAAAGGATAAAGAAGACGGCGAAGCTCTTAGGGGGTGGGCTTGTCTAGTGCTTGCTCCGTACGTGTCAATGACTTTTCCTTGCCTGTCCTTACTTACACGAGCCCAAATAAAAACAACAGGCTGGACGTAAGACCTCGCTGGCCAATGGCAGGGATAAGAGGCGGGAGATGAAGTTTGGATCTTACAAGAATAGCCCGGCATATCTCAGAAAGTGGAGAGGGCGTGTGTCGTGTCGTGCTGTTGCTGCAAACGCTGCCCGACTCAGTGATCTCCACAACAAGCTATGGGACGTGGGGAGGAGTGAGCCCCAGAGAAACGTGGAGCTGAGAAGAGCTGATACAGCGCGTAGTAGCGTATGTTTGAGACTTTCCTACTTTCTGCTGACCGTATCTTTTCCGGGACAGGGATTGGGTTTGGCAATGAAAGCTGATGCGTTGGGCGGAGGGGAAGTGCAAGGAAGCGGGATGAAAGAGAGATGGGATGGGAGGGTTGCGTCCCGTATGTTGCCGTCCGTCGGGACCTGGGTCGATTCCCCTGGAACTTTTCTATTTCCCTGCTGTCTGGCTTCCGGGAGTGCCACGTCCCTGGCGTTCTGGTCCCTTGACTCGAGGTGGAATTCTGATTCTCTTCTCGTGTATGATCTGGGACGGGGCGTATGGCTTGCCGAGACTCGCGGTGTCATCAAGTCTATCCCGAATCGCTATGAATGGGGCCGTCCCTATTTCACAACCATTCGTCAGACTCTTGCATATTTTTTCCCTCAACTGGGACTTGCGGGGCCGGGTAAGTTGAGAGTCCCCCAATACCTCTAATTGGTCTGTAGAGAGATAAACAGAAAGGGTGGGCGATAATTTAGAGACGAAAGGGCCTCGCCATAAGACCTTCGTTGCTGACCTCCCGTGTAGTGTTTGGTCTCACAGAAGATGAGTGATTGCCCTTCGTCCCCAGGTGTAAGTCAGGCCAGCATCTGCCTTCCACCGTAGCTGGGCGGAACTTTGCTGTTGCTGAAGAAGAAGAAGAGAGCCGGTACTCAGAAGAGTTGCTACAGGTTGAAGGGGAAGTAGAGGGAGAAGCGAGAAGAGAATAAATGAGAGATCTTGGATGGGAGGGGGATAGCCATATTGAAGAGGAAGACATGTAAAGCACTGGTAGCTTTCACGTTGTTGTACTGTTCCTGTACGACCTTCGAAGTAGTCAGAACGAGGGTGCCATCAGATATCGCGAACGCTTTGAGCCTCGCAATACTGTAAACGGCGGCCAATTTTTCGATATCTGCTCGCACTCTGGCCGTCCACTCTCTCTCCTGGGAGCAATATCGACGAGCAGCTGTTTGCTCGAAACTGCTTCCACGGGTCCAGGCCCCATTAGAGCAACTCCTCGCATCTCACACGCCTCGCTTAGGCCCTCAATGTTGTGGTATGGGGACCTTCTCTCACATCGCACACGCCCCCAAGATACAATGATTGTATCACCCTTCCAAATCCTCTCAGTCCCCTGCTCCCCAGTCCAAGGCTTGATGAACCAGCACTCGTAGTTCGCTTCAGCCATGTGAATCCACTTGGGGGACAAAAAAAGAGGATAAAAAATTAAAACAAAAAAAGGGCGCTGCCCTGTCCTCTGTGAAACTTTCACATCGTACTGTCACAGGTGTTCGCCCTGAGACTTAGAGGCTCGGCTTCATGGCCACTTGTCATATCCGCATATCCGACTACTAGCACCTCTCGCCATATCATCGATGCCTTCGTATCGTTTGGTTCTCCACTCTGTCCCTGGGTCTCCTTATTCCTCTCTCTTTGCGCATGTGTTATGTAACTCTCGCTGCCAAACGGGTGCGCTAGGCGGCGGCCACTTGCATCAGTACAGGAAACACAAAAATGACATTTTTCTATGCCCTCCCCCCCCCCCCCCCCCCCCCCCCTTTTCCTCTTTTCTTTCCCACATACTTGCTAGTTAGCCATGAGTCTATGGCGGCGCGTTGTTGCTTCCAAATGAGTTGTTCCCTCACGTCGTTGGTAATTTTCTGTGCTTCCCCGATTGTGCTGTGAGTAGCATCACTTGGGAACCCGGATTATTGCCCTTATCCAATATATTGGCACAGCACTAGAAATCTACAAACAGATAGACGTGAAGTAGCAGACCCGTAGGAGGGCGTGAGGCTACAAATCATCCTTGAGTGAGGGAGCACCGAGAAACATCAATGAGAGTGTGTAAAGGGGTACAGGGAGTGTGCTGCATATGGACTTGGTAAGAGGGCGGGTGTGTCACCAGCCCCGAAATGTTTGATCAATGGCGGTAGAATCGGTGGAATCCCACATCTTGATTCCCCAAAATCGGCGCGGACCTTAGCCGGCTTGCTGTTAGGGACTCTGGTAATCACAGGCAGCCACTGGTGGCCAAGTTCTCTACACCTTAACGCCCGTGACGCGCGCAGTGTAGTAGCAAACGTATCTGCTCTGTGACCATCCCAACTTTGGGATACGGGCAAATCCTGCAACAGAACATTCTGGGAGCTCGGAGACCTGGCCCAGCCCAGGTTGTGATTGCGGCAATCCTTGGGAGTGGCAGACGTGGACGTGATTGCTTCTTCGCGCATCCTACTTAGAATGAAGATGAGGTGGCTACCCTTTCTCACCCCATGTCCCTGGGTTTGCGAATAGGCTCAGAAGACCGGTCGAGGAATACAGAAGATGAGGAGGCGTCGTGCTTGTTTGCGCTCATGTACTCATGGAGGTCCAAAGGATCAACATGTCTAATTCAAATCACCAACACCACCTGAACAGAGACAGAGAGCCGGCACCAGCACCGGCTAGTTACTTCCCTCGGAGCTATTGTACTATGCCTCGTCGTAGCCAAGGCTCAGTCCCGTTACTGGGCTATTCACGAAGGGTCGCTTGTCTCGGTTGGCGCCATAGCCGGTCCGCCACTATTACTTATCCGGCCCTTCACAACGGCTACCGCATGAAGCGAACCATGGAAAAGATCGATAGGATCGTTAGTTCTCCATACCATGCTGGGTTATGGGTGGCCGGTACGAGGCGGGAGGGGAGCAAGGAGGAAAGCATCCTTCCCCATTCAGCCAACTACAGCTTTCAGTCCCGCTGTCAAACGAGAAAACGAGCATCTGGAAGAAAGAAAAATTAAAAGAAAAGCCCATTGCGGGCCACAAGCGCAAACAAGACGGCACACGAGGACTAGCGCAAGGGGTCTGCGGTTATTCACGATGACAAGGGCCCGTTGGAATACTACCTCCCCACGACGTATGCAAGATTGGCAATCATCAGGCCCAGGATTACAAGCAGGGTTAGCGGCTGTATGCAAACCCCAGTAGACTCATTCACGGTCCTACTACTTGTAGACCTAAACAGAGGAGGAGTATGGCAGAGACCGCCAGTTGCAGGTACGAGCTCTCGGATAGAGAGACTGATCAACCACCAGTTGACGAGTAAGGGGCGGGGGGTATTAGAAAAGCCCATCAGAGGGCGCGGATATCCAAGCTTCCCGTCATCTACGGTTATCCATCCACCCCCTCCCAGGGTTCAATATCCTGTATACAACACGTGGGTCAACGGCCCTGATCATAGGAAGAGCATACATGATGAGGCTGTAAAGGAAAACCGGACCGTTGAAAAGGTCGGATCCAGCACGGGAATGAGGAGGAGGGTGGCCACAATCGGGGACAAGTCGAGACCGGACAGAAGAGACTCCTCCAGACAAGCAAGAAAAAGCTCGCCAATATTTGCTAATATGCGCGATGCCACCCTTGAACTTCGGGGTCTGTGCAACTTCTGTACACCTACAGCACCAGGAGAGGGCAAGTCCTAACCGGTCGTTGGACGAAAGGAAGGGAAACATCAATAACATGCAGATGCCATGAGAGGTTCACCCCGCCAAATTCTACTTCTTACCCTCCCACTACTTCGTAGAGGACAGACTTGAGGGTGGGAAATGAAATGTGTACCTCCAGAGTGAATGATAAAAAGAAGACCGCCGGCCAGAGAAGCACCACTTGCAAACGCATTCATCTCGAGCCAGGTTCGCCCAACCTCGCAACCCCCAACTCACTGGCAGCAAGTGATATGACACAGGTGAATCGTCACCCTTGTTAGACCCGGCAATACGTGACAGGTGCTCTGCGACAGCTTGATCTTCTTCTCGGCGTTGGCCGAGTAGACAGAGAGAGACGTGCGAGGTCATGCTCCAAGGATGAGAAATTGAAGTCAGAAATGGAATACTACGGCGTCACTGTATGCCGAAGCAGATAAACTAGCAAACATGCAAGAACTTTTTCATCATCCAACCAGCGCCCGGTCCACGTACAACCTACACCAGAAAACGGGCCTCAATCAAAAACAAACAAAAATACAGACGATTATCCCCGATAGCAACCTAGGTAATAGGTAGTAGTAGGTGTACAGAAAAGGGAAAAGACGTGGGGGAGAAGAGGAGGGGGAAAAAAAAAAATAAACCCCCTTGCAGCGGCGGTAGATCATCACGCAGGATGAAGAGAAGGCACTGAAGAAAGAGCACTGAAGAAACAGACAAGAGAAAATACAAAGAAGGAGGAAACGGGGGTATCCTCGCCCTGGGCTTTGACATGGGTCAGCACTGGGCAATCCAGAAAACACTGGATCGATTCTCAGGAGGCGAGAAACGAGGGGCTGTAAGAGCCGAGCTGGCGTTACACGAACTGCACCACACCATGGACCCTGTCCGAACTGAAGGCAGGGAAGGATATGGTGTTTCGAGATTTGAGCTGTTCGCCTAGGTCGAGACCCAGAATCATCTTATCCATCCA